AAACAAGGCATTGCAGCTACACTTGCCTTTATTAGTTAGACTAGGGTAGGCACATGCAAGTAGTACCTTAGACACACCACAGAGGACTAGGCCCAGCCAGTCCCTACTAGATAGTTTTCTCATGCTCTTTTTTTTTCTTTCCTTTATTTGTTGCACTTTAGGGTCAGATCCCTCACTATTCCTTGTACTTTCATAGACATCTCCCTCTTGAAAACCTACCTACCTTATACTTGAGGGGCTACTACCCCTCTTGTCCTCTAATAGTCTCAGACTTATATAGGACATTAAATGAATACATACATACATACATACATACATACATACATACATAGCAAAAAGGCAACAGGAATTGTTGATTTTGGTTGAGTTTTGGTATTGGTGTTGGTATTGGCCCTGGCCGGAAAATTTACAGGACAGCCTGCCTGTCAGTCTTTATGCAATCACATTAGTTGCTTGGCAGGCGAAATTGGACTCTGCACCTCCTTGCAGTGCCGGCTGGAAACAGGACTCCGGTCCTGGCCAACGCAGAGACGTACCCTGACACAATTGATCAACCAACAATACTAGACATGCTTTGGCAACGTACACCGGCCCCTTTTGGAGGTCTGCAAGACTGGGGCCCTTGCCACCTTACAAAGGAGAATTTTTGCCGCCGCAATCGTGTTAGGGTAACGGCTAGGTAGAGGAAGGATACTGGAGAGGATATACTGTCCCTTAGGAGGACAAGACACAGCATTGCAGATGCTGTGGTTGTCAGGGGCAACTCCCTAGGAACGCATTCCTAGTTCATACCTATGGTATGGCTCTGAGGAAGTGCACCAACAGAATTGCGGCTCCCCCAGGTGTCTATGCAGAGAGGATTAAGGCATCAGCAACGGGTTTTTTACTTTTTCCTTAGGCCAGTACTGGTCTGCTGACTGTGGCAACATACTGCACAGGAGGACTACTTGGTGGCAAATGCCATGGTGTTGGGGCAAACTTCCTTGAGGAAGCACATGTATCTAATCTGGTGGCGTTTGTTGACTTGCTGATGAAGTGCAATGGAGCTGTGCCATATAGTCTAGGACTCAGAGCTGCACGTAAAATCACACACAACAACAACAACAACAACAACAACAACAACAACAACAACAACAACAACAACAACAACAACAACAACAACATTGGTTGCTCATATGGAGAAGCACTGCTTGTTGAGTCGACGTTTGGTTGATTATAACACCACGTCACCCACATTACCAAAATCAAGTTCTTACCATGCTTTAGAGATGCTTTTGACACTTTAGGAGGATTTAGAGGTGCTGGCTTGGTTCTAATTAATCTAGGGGCGGTGGCATCAAATCTTTAAGTTTGACTGTGTGCGCCAACACTACCCGTCCATTACAGTCCTTAGCCATAGTGTTGCACCGTAGTTGTGATTTTGGTAGAGGCTTGGCACAGAGCGGCCACTCGACCGTGGGGTACGTTAGTTTGAAGAGCTTCAAGATTAGTCTAACTTTGTGTAAAGGCATTTATGCTAAGCCATCGGATTGTTATACTAACACATTGACCGTTAAGAATATAAAAGAGGCTTACAGCACAGCTGCGAGAACGCCAGAAGGAAGTAAAAAGAAGTACACGAGCAAAAAGTGACCTAACCAGGGGTCGAACCTGGAATCTCTTGATTGGACTAGATAATCGTAGTCAAGCGCCTTGCCATTGGGCCATTAGGCCAATAGAACTGATTTATGAAATAATCCATAAGTATTGAAAATATAACGTACAGTCATGTAGCAGAGGCTGAGTAGCAAAGCGCGAAACCGTGGAGTTCAACAAACGTCACTTACCCCACTAGGTCTTCCCTTCAATTCGACAAACGCGGTATGGCAACAACCCCAACCAAGACCTTGAAAGCGCCACTGCACCGTCTGCGTACTATCCCACTTCGCCCTACTAATGCTATAACCTGAACTATACTCGATTCATCTGCTATATGAACCTCTTCTCGTCGAAACGTAAACCACGCAAATCTTCGGAGCCCGTCATGTTAACCACTACAACCACACCACGTGCAGACCCTCCCACATTTGCGCAATACGACGGCAATGGATTCTTAGTAGGAGGCGGCGTCGCAATCTTCCACATCGCGACAGCTAGAGTGGTGATCTGCAGCGCGCAAGACCGACGCGGCACGACGTACTATTTCCTCCCCAAAGGCCGACGCGATGCTGGAGAAGACAGCAGCCGGGGCGCGGAGAGGGAAGGATATGAAGAGGTATGTTGGGGATAATATGAGGATTGCAGAAGGACTGGTAGGCATGCTGATTTGCTTCAAGTCGGGCTACCGCAACCGCCTCCTCCCCCTTCCAACAACGCACCGCCAACCGCAAGCACACCCGCGCGTCCATGCTCCGCCGTTGACTTCAGAGCCGGTCTGGATGCAGCTCATGCCACTCGGCAGTCGGCAGTACATCCTCTACTGGTACATCGCCGAGACCCTTGCGCCAGATCTGGAGAAAGAGTTGGAGACAGAAAGCGGTGCGGCGTACAAACCTCCCCCAACCTACCCGCGCAACTTGAGCTTAAGGGATCGGATAAAGATGGAACCAGATGGATACCAACCGCTACATCACGAGAACACGGGGGTGGACGCGGAGGAGCAGACATATAAGAGTTATCTCGTGAGCGTGGACGATGCTGTGACAAGACTCGGGGAAAGCACCGTGTCCGCGGATGTAGTCTTGAAAGGCTGGAAGGGTATTCAGGATCGGTTTGCGATGGAGCACGCTGCGACCTTTGAGAGTCCTGAGGCATACGCTTGTTGATGTGTGCTCGACTTGGACTGCGTCCCGAGATCCTCCTTTACACCTCATTAATACGACGGACTTTGTACCACCTTCAGCTGCAGCAACACCTTCCCACCTCGTTCTTATCTCGACATGAAGTATCGCAACACCATGCCGACTCATTATCCACCTGTACGCACCTTCTCTATTCGTACTACCTCACTCACCGCACGCGTCATCTCTACGGCACATTCCGTCTCTCCCCAAAAGCAGCAAAGAATGGCTTGTGACAGTTGCAGACACGTGTCTTCGCTACCGCAAAAGTACCATTTGCAGCAAGCGAAGCAATCTATGTACCCCACAAGGTCTTTATCGAAGTAGATGAAGCAACCCCATAATACGCACGTGCGACCGGTTTCGCTACCAAATTCTTTTTGGAGGCCAGGTAAACCCTGCTCTGTCATGTTGATAGCATTGGTGAGGAATCATCGTCCATGTATGTATGCACGGACGGTTGGAGTCATGGTGTGATAATCGTGGTTAGATGACCATGTCTCACAAGCGACCGTTTTTGCTCTGGGGTAGCTGTGGTCTAGACTAAAGCGGGTGACATGGGTAAAAGCAGCAAGTTCCCCGGAACATACCCCATTTTGTGATTGACCCTTCAGCGTTGCGATACGAGTCGTCAGCTACCATGGTGACTTGACAAATCCCTGATTAATTGCCCGAGACGTCGCGAAGAGCGGGATTGAGCACAGATGAGGTCGAACGTCAGGGTTGCCCAGGTGAGTATAGATTGCTTGAACTAGGTTGCGGAAATCAGCTGACAGTCGTTGAGAGTTCGGGGAGAGACGGCTGCGATAGCACAGTGCTGTTAAGACATGGTTTGCTTACCACAGACTACCTTGCGCTCACACTGTTGCGCGTACAGGACAAGTAACACACTCTGTCCAACTTCCAGTGCAGCGTGAAAGGTAAGATGGCTAGCCGTGATGCCACACACTAGTTATCGACACCTCTAGGGGCAAGCCGCGTAGACACAGGATCGAGCATGCGATATGCTGAGCTTGCAGCTGAGTTGAGTCGACATTGCAGTGCATGAGGACCGTGACACTCCGGACCGTTTTCGACATGGAGGCTACTCATCGAGTGTATCGATCGTTCCGACACCAATTTCCAGCAACGGCATTGAAGCACAACTTCGTCGTCATGTACGAGAACAAAACGCGTTGTGTACCTTGATATGAGACCTCCGTCCCACAGTACATCCAGCCCACTGTCCGTGTACATGCATCTCTGAGTCTCACCCATATATCTTGCGTAGATCACCTATACCCGCCTGCAAGCTGCAAGCCCTACGCGTCTTCCGTCTCCAGCTCATCCGCGATCTGACGTTCACGCACCGGATCTCCTAACGTTACGCAGAAAGTCAAAGCTGCTGCCGTGACTCGTCAGATACTGTGCAGCGCTGTACTCAACGACAACCAGCGACCGAGTCAATGATAGCCAGTGGGTGAGTATGAGGAGGGCAGTTTGAAACATCCGGGCCGTTGCATCCATGGATCGCGGTGCTCCGTGTATGTACACGATCGTGAGAAGATGTAGCTTGCGGCGTTGCGGGAACGCGGGCTGTAGTTGAACGCAAGAAGCGGGTGGGTGGTAAGAAAGCTTGAGAAAGATGGTAAAGTTGGTGTAGGAGTAGCGTTCCTTGCAGTCGTTGTCGTTCTTTACCAGTCAGTTACGCCGCCTGCACACGATCTTATAGCTTCGCGGCTTGTTCTGGATTAGCCAGCATACTCTGAGTTGTAACGATGACTGCTCATGTTACTTTGCGATTTGAGCGTTGGGAGCATGGCGGATGAGGCTGCGCTAAATCCAGCGCTAACAAGGCGAAGTTGATCTGGTGGCGCTATGATCGCTGCAGGGTAATGACATGTGGTGGAAGAGCGATGAAGATCCGAAAGCTGTTTCACTGCTCATTGTTGGTTTCGCAGCTGAATGCTGGAGTGGTAGTGATACCGATATGTACACCGTAGACTGAATGAAATCGCTAGAATGGCAAGCAAACATCGCCTGGCTCAGAAAAACAAAGGTGATGACACGATGGCACTGGATGATGACCCTTCAGAGTGCTCAAGTCCACCTTGATTTTGTTCTCATCCCTGTATAGCAGAGCAGTAATGTGTAAGGAGTGTGAGATAACAGGGACGACTACGAGATTACGAAGCCGGAAGAACGAAACGTAATGTGTACAATGAAGTGTATATATGCCGACATGTTTTGCTTATATCCGACAATGTTCCTTCCAAACATGATATGAGATCGCAGGACGAGACAGGACGCGAGAATAGCGCGAAGTTCGACAGGGTATACCCATAAGACCAGACCAAAGATGAAGCAGAAAAGTGACAATTTTTACCACGAGAAGGACTCCTCGCGGAAGTCAACGTTCCACTGTGACTCGCGACTGCGGACGGCGCTGCGGAGCTCGTCAGCCAGTCCGCCGGTACCGCACGTGCTAACACAGGCGGCACCAATGCCCTCTTGCATCTCCTGGTCGACCAGGCTCTGGACATTTGGCCTGCCAGGGAACATCTGCACGCTGGATGACGGCGAGTGGATCTCATGTTTGCTGCGAGGGCGGGTGACGAAAAGGAGGATCTTCAGAATCTCGCGGCGGCGGGGCATGGCGAGAATCTGTGTCATCCATGTTCGGATCCACTCAAGATGCTCCGGCGACTGAATGATCCACACAAGCGTGAGGCGGCGAGTGGCGACGGTGCCATTGGCGTAGCCGGCAACAATGTCGCGAACGTGGGGGACCTGGTGGGTGATGCCGATGCCAGCAGCCCATAGCATGACTGTGCCATACGAGCTTAGATCTTCGCCACCTGCAGCATGACGTTAGCGTGATTCGCGAATATTGGATTAATCTATCCGATAGTGCAAGTCTGGGGAAGAACAGGCTTCGGCACTTACCATATGGACCCTCCACAAATGCCGTAGTTGAGAATCTGCCGGCAGTAGACAAGTCGGCTTTCTGAAATAGTTTGTCGGTGAAACCGGTTCGTCGTCGAATGATGAAAGACATGCTGGTCTTGTTGTGCTCGAGGATGTCTTGGCGGTTCATGGGGAGACCCTTCTCATCAGTGATGGTAGACTGGATGCTGAGGTCCTCCTCTTCCTCGCTCCAAGCTACAGAGAACGGGTGATTGGTCCAGAGCCCTACCGAGGGAATGTACAGGTAGGCGTGCTGTCCGGGGCGGAACGTCCACGGGCGAGCCATGCGGACGGTGACGCGGAGGGCGTCGCCGGGAAGTACTTCGACATCGCAGCCAGTGCCGCCGTTTCCAACGTTGCGCATGACAAGGCGGAGGAAGCGCATGGTTCGCTCAGCAGCCCAAAGGGCAACAACACCGTACAACATAAACTGCTGCGGTCGCTCCTTGAGATGCACCCACACCGCACCAACAGCGACTGCTGCACCAACGATATGGCCGTGCAAAAACACCTCGTAGAATGAGTGGCGGATAGGCGATGGGGATTGGATGAGCAGCCAGACGAACGCAACGACGCCCTAAGCGTGTTAGCCTTGATTCTTCGAATGTTTTCCGTTTCACGTACAATGAAACCCATCATGATGAACTCGCTGCCGGTAATAGATGCTTGCACAGCAGCCCAGCCCTCTGCACGTCTGTTAGTACTCTTCCATGTTTAGTCCGCTTGTAAACTTACTGGTGTGGACCGTGCTGGAGATCCAGCAAACGGCGTGTGCAATCGCCTCAAGGACGACGATGCGTCCAAACCAGCGATGCATCAAGTTCATGGTGTCGAAAGAGATACCGGTGAGCTTAATGATGGGGTTGTTGCGGCCAGCCAGGAGGAATAGAGGAATCATGTTGATGACAGCCATGACGCCGGAGCGGGTGAGAAGTCCGCTGGCACCCG